AGGAGCGCTGGAATTAGCAGTGCTGCTGGTGCAAAAACACCCCCTGACTGGAAGTAATAATAGAAACCAAATGCATGGCTTCCAAGGTTTACAGTTTTGTTCAGTGGCTTGTGGCACCATTACTGTAGGAAGTGTTCCAATGCTCTGTGTGCTTATGTGAGAATCTTGGCGTTCATTTAAAAAATAAAAAATAAAGGAGTATCTAGACTTCATGGTTGGGGAGAAAGACTGAAAATATGAATCATAAGGTCTCTGCAGGTTCAAAAATCAGAAGACAGATGACACCTCACGTATATAATTTGTTTTAAATCTGATGATTTTTAAGCCAGTCCATGAGTTTTGGGGGCCTGTTTTGTGATTTTTCAATGTTTGGTTTGGCAATGCTGTCAATACCCATTCATGGATTCAGACAAAGAATTCTTGACAAATCAGAAGCAGCATTAAGTATCATACTATACAACACATACACAGTTGCTTTCATACTATAGGCCACCATCCAAATGGAAATGAAAGGGGACAACAATTTAAAAAGAAGTGGTTGAGTCCTTTAGGCACTACAACAATATAAAACATTCATAATAGTTTAGGCCAAAACATGACTTACTTTATAACACATGCCTTAGTATGAAAAGTCCTTCAGATTCTAAGTATTTAGTCTATATCTATACCCACCCCCTTTATTGCCAAGATTACTAAAGAGGCATCTTTCCTGTTGCCAGAATACAATAAGTGATCTTTACAAAAGACCCTACAATATTTTTGCTCCGCTACAACAAAGACAGCTCCAGCCAACATACGGAATGCAAAGTTAACCTTTATATTCAGAGTTGGACTTCCACTATTGAAGATAGATATCGGTGATTATGTAGACAACAAAAGCTAAAAAAATAATCCCAGCATGGATGCATTCGGCTGCTGCTTTATGAGAGAATTAGCAGAAAAAACATCTGCCAGGTGATGAGACAAAAAGAGCGGAGGGAAAGATGCTATTTTCAAGCTCATGAGGGGATATTACTTCAAGTGGAAAGTAAACAAAATAATTAAAATCTATTGTTAAAAAGGGACAGCATCTTTAAGCTAGTAGCACCCCCATGCCACAGACCAAATTGTTAGTTCAACTGCTGAAATATCTTAATATGCCGAAATGTACAGGGAAAGTCACAAAAGCAGTACACCCCAAGCTACATGTACAGCTTTTATCTTGTGCAAAATCAGACATTTTATTTTATAACTGCGTAGAAAAAGGACTCTCTCTATATACATATTTAGAACTCAGACATCAGAATGGTTAAAACTACTTGCAAAATGATGCCCGGAGATTATTAATTAAATCTGTTGCTGCATTTTATCATCCTGTTGCAGAGCCCAAGCCTCCACAAACAAAACAGCAACATTCCTGCAGTTCCCTTTACCAATGTATTTTATGAATGATTAATAAATGCAAGCCACAGGCAATTTTTAAAATATATCAAAACAAAATGTGGGGAGGAGGAAGAGCATAATGGATATGGAGTCTATCAAGTGGAAAGCGGATATGGGGAATAAGATACCTTAGCCATTATGTGGTTCCACCCCAGAAGTATAAAATCCCTTGGGCAGAGTCAGGTGGGATTTGGGACATGACAACCCATTAAAGAGTCTGTAAGTGATAAACTGCAATCCATAATTTCATTACACTTTAGGTCAGACTATTAATGCTCAGCATATATTATCAAATTATATATTGATATCCATATCCAAGCTGCAGTGGCTTAAAATTTGCTTTGTTGAGTCAGCAGTCATGGAAGACACCGTAATAAAAAAAGGGCGGGAAGGGGAGAAGCAAGAAATCAAAAAGCACAGAGTAATTATTTTTCTCTTTAAAAATAAAAAGTTTTATCCCTTAAGCATTTCCCCAATCAAGATGAAATTGTTGTGTGCATGCTGAAGGTGGAAGGGCTATGAAAAGAAGGAATGGCAAATAAGTTTGAAGGACAAAATCGGCCAGGACTCTCATTCTTCTAGCAAGAAATTTCTAATAGACAGCTATTCTTACCAGTTTTCTCTAGTACAAAACAAGTCAAAAGTCCAATGCAACAATTTACAATTTATCCAGGAGCAAGGAATACTCATGGCAACACATTTTCCCCCTCTTTTTTAAAAAAATACTTCGCTTAAGAGAATTGTCATTTACTTATCTGAAAAATAAATTACACAATTTCTAACTAAAGTGAATTTACATCATATGCTCATCTAGGTCCATTGACCTCACTGCTGGATAAAATTTGAATTACATAATCCTCTTCCAATCCTTCTCTTACCCTCCTATTAAAAGAAAAGGCAGAGAGAAACTCTATAGTAAACTGGCAATTCAGGTTTAGCCAATGCCATTTTAAATTATGCTAAATTCAGGATGCAAGGCGAATGCTGAAAATATTGCTTCACTAATGGGTAAGTCAGAGACCACTGCGTATTTCATTAAAGGAAAATATATTGTCAAGTTTAATCAGTTCCAATACCAGCAGAATATTAGCTTGTGAAGTATGCCCACAGCAAGGAGTGAAGCAGGCAAACAAAATACCCAAAACCTCCACGCTGCCAGGAGTCCTGCGGCATTCAGCAGTTCTGTCCTTGAAACAGACAGTACTTCTGGCTGGGGCAGCTAACTGTTTGGGTGCATCCCCCAAGGACACTCATATAGAGCCCCTTGTAGAGATCAGAGCTGTCCCCCAAAAGAACTTTCCCATATGCTCTCCTTTAAGAGAATCCCACAGGGACACAGGGTCTAAGCTGGTGCAGGAAGATGAGAGTGTACCACTTGGGGTACATTTTGCTCACAATCTCTTCCAACTACACAGACAGGGAAAAAAGTTAAAAAAAAAAAAAATCACAGAACTTTTCAGTGAATCAGGACGACAACCATTTGCATTTGGAGAACCACAAGATCAAACAGCAACTGGAGACATCAAACAAAACCCAGGGCCCAAAACCGAATGTCTATTCATATGCTCAAATAAAACCAGAATTTAGTTTAGTCTCTATCTATCAAAGACAGAAAGCAAGTGGAATGTCAATCTGCCTCTTGCTTTTATAGCTGGAATAACCACCATAAAATTGAAAAGCCTTCCATCTCCATCTGCTAATGTAACTCAGTGTCTATACTGAGATAGGAGAAATATATTTAAAGAAACTGCCAAGGCTGCAAAGGCCAACAGTTAGACCTTGTAGACATACGTACTTCACCATCCCTTGACTTACTGTAGCTTGTCCGCTTTGCTTTTGGAATTGAAAATGTATCACAAGCATCTATGAAGTGTGTTCTTATGACTGACGCATTCACATATATCACAATATATAAAATTATTGTAATACATCACACTGCCCTAGTGCTTCCAGCAAGCAATAGTCTTGTAATTTCCAGCACTGCTGGTTCTTAAACAATAGAGTAGACAGGAAGAAATGAAGGATGATGCAACATGCATGCTGCAAATAAGAACAACCCTAGTATCTTGGGGTGTGATGGTGGTGGTGAACTGATTGTCCAGGAGAGCAGTTAGGATTTTAGTAGTATTTTAGCCTTTACTTTTGGGAACGTATTTTACAGGAATACAATGAGGACAGTGTTTTTAAAAAAAAAAAAAAAGTGTTACTAAGTTCCAAGAATTTCTTAGAAATTTGGGGTCACTTGATTTTGAACAGGATCCCTTTAATATTAAAAAAAAAAAAACCCTGAAGGCTGTGCATAATCCCATTTTAAAAAATGTAATTGTATAATTCCACTAAGACAATCATTACTTCTTACAGTTTAGACAAAATGAAAGCAGAAGAGCGTTTCAATCTTTATGCCAAAAATTCAAGCACTGTAAACTCATTCTGAAGTTCTGCATCAGAAAATGAGTTATATAATGTGTGCTTCAGGTGTAACAAGTAACTTTCTTTGTGAGGTACATCATTATGGGTATAAGAAATCCCTCTGTCAAGTACTTTGCAAGGATCTTACTCTAAAAGAGCAAGAACACATTTGTATACAAGTCATAGGACACAGGTGGCAAGCAAATGCTCCATCAATAAATTGGTATCTTCTAACAGAGATCAAGCACTCCTGAAGAGGTCTTTGAATAATCCTAGCAGGTGCAGAGTACCCTCAACTTCACCTAGCAGGATTGGTCTCTTTATCTGTAGGATAATTTTCAATTGGAATTAAGTTGGATTCCCCGCACAAAGGTGAGCAGCTCCTTACATCCACACAAACATACCAAAACCACATTAGAGCTAGAAATAAGTTTACAAGTGAATATATCACTTGCCTTAAAGTGTTTGCCATGCGAACCAGCCCATCTACAGCAGGCATGGGTACTAAAATGCTGCTATTCGATAATTTGCCGATTGCTACCATGGTACACTGTTTTATAGCAATCACTACCTAATAGCGCACACTGACAATATCCTGTAATATCTTGACAACTTTTATACTGTGTCCTGCCAATTCAGAAAGACCAATATTAGACAGTTTCAAATCTACAAATCACTGTTGCAGTGTGCTGTGTTAGTATGAAGTAAGGAGTCCTTATTCCATGAAGCGTTACAATATATACAGCACTACTCAAATCAGGTCACGATGGGCGCCACTATAATGGACTCATCATAATTCTTCCATTGGAAATCAAAACAGCTCCAGGCTAAACAAAAGCATATGTAGTGCATCGATTCGTAAGTTTATCTGACGTAATCCCACACATGCAGTAACACACACAGTAAGTGCCATACATAAATATATCTGTGTAGGTTTTTATACTGCATTTTTCACCATACTCCACCATACATCTTCGCTGTTTAACTTTACTTACTAATTAAGCCATTTAAAATACAAAATGTTTTAAAAAGTAAAAAAGGAGCAGTTTAATATGAATAAAATACCTAACAAACACGATTTGGCAAGAATGGGCAAGCTACAAGCGTGGTAGGGGCTTTCTAACCTAAATGAAAAATAAAACAAATATACACAGGTCTACTGTGTTTACCTCAGTATTTGGCTGTAGTGTTTGCCCATCTTGAGTTGCAGTTGGTACTATTGCCCACGTTATATTGGCACTAGCAGATGATAAAGAGCTGAAAGCACCATTTTTCAGTTCTGTGGAATGTGACTTTGGCCCATGCCATCCCAGGATATTTTCTGAAACAGAAAACTAGAGTTAAGCCACAAGACTCATGTTCTAGACAGGATTTTAATCTCAATGTCCTAAATTCTATATATGAATTGCTACTTGTAGTTATAGTCATCTCCCCCGCCCACACCTGCATGTACGCGCGCGCACACACACACACATCCCTACCTTTGCCACTGTAACAGAAAGATGCTTATATCCTGCATTTAGCAACACTTTATTTGCAATAAATTCCCTTTTTGAGGTGGATGGCTAACGTTTACCAAGACAATTACAAAAGCTATTCAAGCCAGGAATCAATATGGGATCATTAATATAGTAAACAGGAAATTCGAGGTATTTTGATTTTTACTTTCAGCAAATACTTATGAAGCTCATTTTGTTTTCTCCTCTTCCCACTAACTGTGATGTTGCAGCTTACATTATACCTAATCATCACAACTACACAAACATTACAGAACTCTGTAGCAAAGGTCCAAATTATATTTCATGCTCCAATTATCAAATATGTTTCAGTTAAGGTCACACGTTATACACGAAAATAATGTGCAATTTAGTACAACTTTCCTAATAAAAATAAAAAAAACCTGTCAATAGTTGTCCGTGCCAATATTATTTAAAAATCTTATAATGGCCCTGAAATAAATATTACTGAATCTGATATAGGTAGATTTTCTCCTCATACTAGAAATATGAGTCAGTATCACAATAAGGGGAATGCTTGATTACTCATCTTCTGAACTCAACTCATCTTCTGTCCCAACCCAAAGACGAGTTCAGACAGCCTCCATGACTTTTTTTCCCACTCCACCTGTCTGAAGCTTCTATTTTAGCCCACTACATGTCTTTTTGTTTCCCCTCTGTACTGTTAGAGGTCTTTCTACATTGGTTAGGAAACCACTTTAGCACCTCTATCAAGACATGTGTTAGAATGCTGTTCACACTAGAAAGAGGTCAACTAAAGATGAGCCTGAACCATAAGCCCCCATGAGCACATTCCTGCCGCCGGGGATATTTGAACTCTCTGGCTTGGGCGAACCTTTAGGGATAACAGTAGCGAAAGCCTAGAGGACAATCTTTGTACCAGCTTACTCTCCAGTTTGTGGGATGGGTTATGTTGCTGTCACCCACCTCTCCATCCCAAAAAATACATTAGCACTAAAAAAGCTCACTAGCCCTCAATCGCTGCATTTAGTTTTAGTTATTAGAATTACCAGTAACAGCAGAAAATATCTAGATACAGACCACAAAATGACTACTTGCATGAGGGGCATGTGGAGATGGAAAGGGGTTAGTACAGGAGGGGGATGATTACAAGCTCTTTGAGACAGACTTTTTTGTGCGTGTGTTTATGTGCTCTAAACACTACCATAATACAAGCAATAAAATAAACAACGGATTATGTTTATTGTTCAATGAGATAACAGTAGCATAGAAGTTAATTTAACCTATTATAATGTAATTACATATTTACAATGCATTTTGTAACTAGAATATTTCTAATGTGTTCACCCATCCCTGGGAATTACTTACGTAAAAATGGTATCCCAAATCAAATTCCACTACCCTTTAATTCAGCATGAAATGGTCACTGAGATGGGATCTAACACTCCAGTTCCTAGGAATCTTTTTGAAAAATCTTAAAAGCTGTGTAAATACAGAAATCAATTTTGAGGTTGATGTGAAGCCACTATAACAACCTAGCAGGTTATCTCCACTCCCCAACCTAACTACACAATGGTTTATTCGGCGCAAGCCCTTACTTACAATCATTACAGTATGACAGTGAAAGTTATTTTAATGATGCATATGGTCCCTAGTACATATAATATATTCAAAACTAAGGGCTATTCTCTTTTGCTTTGGGGATGTGAGGGTTTCATATATTTTAAAAATTTGTCAATTAAGAAGTGTCCATCTGGTTTAAGATTCCAAATCAGTATTGGAATATATACCTAGACTTTTAAAAAAACATTTCCAAAAGGTATATTGTACAGAATGGTTAAAATACAAAACATTAAAAAGCAATTTCTCTTGCACTTACTTGCCAAGTGAGGCCATGAAGTTTCCATATTGCCCTAGCAACATTTCAGTGACATCACAAAGCTATATAAGTCTCCTTGCTCACATTAGGAGTTTGTGATGTCATCCATTGCAGAAGAAAGCCAGAAACTAACCGAGGCCTCAATAGGCAAATTAAGCATGAACATATTTTCAAAATCTTTAGATGCAAATATAAAAAGCTTGCTTGTGTTTTATTCTAAATACACACAATAAGACACCATTCCCATTGGCCCGGGGTAAGAGTAGTGTTCTTTATTGCTATTGCTGGATCTTTCCTGGGGACTGCACCTTGATAGGGTGGGCAAGCTTATGCAGTCCAAAGACTTTTTTCCAAGTTATGCTGGTGGGAGTTTTCACTCCTTGTAGGATGGGGACCAGACAAGAAACAGTCCATTGGTTCTCCAGGCTGGGGGTTGAGCAACAGGCCAGTAATCTATCCTTATGAAAAAAAACTTAAGTTATAGAAATGCAACAATGTCAGTAAGTAGGCAGAGCCTTTTTTGTGCAGCAATTCTAAGCAACATTTGGCAGCTCAGTATAGATTCAGATGCAGCTGGAGATCTGAGTTCAGTTTGTGATCCTGGTCCTATTTTTGCTTACACTTTAAGTGATGTGGAGACAAAGCAAGGGACAATCCCACTGCTCTAAAATGAGCTCTGACAGACTAAAAGAAAAACACTGAAGGGCCCTGGAGACCTGCCTGGGACATCCACAGAGTTCTGTAAGAGATGCATGCCTTCAGAGTTAAAGGATAAAATTGAATGTAAAAAGTTATCAAGTCCTCTTGAGGGGATTAATGTGGCTGTAGCAAGGAGTCTCTTCTTTTAACCATCTCCCAAAATAATAGTATAGCTCTCAGAGCAAAAAGGCCATGAACATGAGCAATTTGGCCAAGATTTGACAAAGTTTGTGTGAGGAAGACTTGAAATTTTGTTCTAAAATAAACACAAAGTTAAAATGAACTCAAAATAATTACATATTTTGGCTAGCCACACAAGACCAATTTTGTGTAACTGATATGCCACGTGTGCATGTCTCTATTTTTATTAGGTGATAGTGACTAATAATGTATATATGTGTTGCCCTTCTCTCCTTGCCATATGAATAGCTCATTATTGGATAACAACAAATGATAAAGAATATAGCAGAACTGTCTGACCCTTTCCTAAATAGGACTGGAGAGGGGAGGGTGCGGTGGAAGAGAAAGTAAATCAGCCAATCAATCCTTTAGTCTATCCACTCTCCCGTCTCTTATTTGCATACTGCAATCCTATTGACCATTGTATTTACAAAGTACAGACTTTTTTTTTTTTTTTAATTAAAAAAAGATTTTTTTTTTATAGCAAGTGAACATGAGAGAAAAAAGTGTCATCTGAATGACACTGCATTTGTGCAGTTTGGATCAGAACTGCAGAACCAGTTTTCTGTACAAATGTACAAATAAATATTTTATGGATACTTTATTTTTAACTACATCTTTTTTGCTTCAATATAAAGACACCTGGTGTCAGGCCAGAACTCACCATCTGCTCCCCTTCTTCCTTCCAAGGTCTTAAACTCTTTTACTGAAATAAAATCTATGGGAACTACGCACGTGTGTTTTCCCCATCTGTCCCAAGGGCAACCATGACCATCACAGAGAAGAACAGCCTTTGTCAGTATGGCACTATGCCCACATATTCTTCATAGAGATTGTTGTTATAGGACGTGATTATGGCATAACTATGATGTATTTTATGCAAGATAAGGCATGTGAGATATATTCAGTAAGTCATAACCTTTTCAATTATGACTATCCTATTTGTATGCATGTATCATTTTCGTATCTGAAGTTGGATGCAAAGACAATATTCCTATTACAAATGTGTTTACACCTGGGGAACGCCCACTAGACAGAATGCAATCAGTCTACATGGCTCGCTGGGAAGAGCCATTACGGAGAACAATAGGTCTTTGAAGATGCTAATCTCCCATTGGGAAGCCTACCTGGGGACACTGCAAACAGCCTGAGTTATGGCAGCAGGGACATGTGATCAAGTCACCTGGTACTGGACTCCATGATAATACCAATATTTTTGCACTGACTGAGGGTGGGAATCACACTGGGAGACACAGGATTCCTGCCATATGTAAAAACTATTTAAGGCAGGGGAGTGACATCATTGAGGTTGATTCTTCATTGACTTCCTGCCCAAGAAAGAGGACTGCTGGAAACACCCGAGAACAAAAAGACTGGACTAGGGGAGAAGGGCTGAGGCCAGGCTAGAAGGTGTCTGGACTGTGAAAGGAATATCTGGAGTTTTAAGCTGCAAGCAAGTGCAGCTTGCCTTTAAGAATCTCTGCAATCTGCCTAAAACAGCATTTAGGGTGAGAAATTGCTACTTATAACCAGTTTCTTTAATATATTAAGCTTAGATTGTGTGTTAGATCAAAGCAGATTACCTAGCAAATAAAACTATTTGCTATCCTTTATAATCACTTAAAATCTATCTTTTGTAGTTAATAAACTTGCTTTTGTTTTGTCTAAAACTAGTGTGTGTGGAAATCATAACTTGGGGCAGAAAGCTGTGTATATCCCTCTCCACATTGAGGGGGCGAATTTCACGAGCTTGCACTGCAGAGTACTGTACAGTGCAAGATGGTACAATTTTGGGTTTACCCTCTAGAGAGCCATGTGCCCTTGAGTACTGGGCAACTCCTTAGCTGAGCCTTCCCATGCAGAGCTGATCTCAGTATCTGTGTGTATAGCTGCAGCAGGGTGTGTCGCTACCTGTATGTGTGCTAGTAAAGTGCAGTCTGAAGCCTGAGGGAAGGCTTGGCTGGCTTGCCCCAGCAATACAGTGTAAACGGAGCTCAGGCTGGTGGGTCAGGTAGGCTCAGAGGTCCCCAAGTTCCAAGTGGCACCCCGAGGGGGGAACCCGTCACAGCCAGCTTAATCAATATT